GCCAACATCGAAGAGACTAGGAACAACAAATGCTGGCAAGGATGAGGAGAAGGGGGAACCCTCCTACACTGCTGGTGAGAATGTGAATTAGTTCAACCATTGTGGAAAGCAGTATGGAGGGTCTTCAAAAAACTAAAAATAGAATTAGCATTTGACCCAGAAATTCCACTCTTAGGAATTTACCCAAAGAAAACAAGTTCTCAGATTCAAATAGACATATGTGCTCCTATGTTTATTGCAGCACTTTTTACAATAGCCAAGCTATGGAAGCAATCTAAGTGTCCATCAGTAGATGAATGGATAAAGAAGATGTGGTACATATACACAATGGAATACTATTCAGCCATAAGAAAGAAACAAATCCTACCATTTGCAACAACATGGATGGTGCTGGAGGGTATTATGCTCAGTGAAATAAGCCAAGCAGAGAAAGACAAGTACCAAATGATTTCCCTCATTTGTGGAATATAACGACGAAGCAAAACTGAAAGAACAAAACAGCAGCAGCCTCACAGACTCCAAGAAGGGACTAGTGGTTATCAAAGGTGAGCTGGTGGAGGGTAGGTGGGGAGGGAGGGAGAAGGGGATTGAGGGGTATTATGATTAGTGCACATGTTGTGTGGGGGGATCATGGGGAAGACACTGTAGCACAGAGAAGACATGTAGTGACTCTGTGGCATCTTATTGCACTGATGGACAGTGACTTCAATGGGGTGTGGGGGGAGTCGATAATATGGGTGAATGTAGTAACCACATTGTTTTTCATGTGAAACCTTCATAAGAGTGTATATCAATGACACCTTAATAAAAAAAAACACAGAAGGAATAAAATAACAGTAGACTCACAGACACCAAGAAGGGACTAGTGGTTACCAAAGGATAGGGGTTCATGAAGGTCAGGGGGGTGAGGGAAATGGGATTTCTGGGGCACTATAATTCACAATTACAATATGGGTAGGGCATGGGGACAGTAGTACAGCATAGAAAATACAATTAATGAGTCTATAATATGTTACTACATTGATAGGCAGTGACCACAATGGAGGGGGTGAGGACTTGATAATATGGGTAAATGTTGAACCACTGTGTTGTGTGTTTGAAACCATCATAAGATAGTGTATCAGTGATACTTTAATAAGAAAAAGAAATCTCCCAAATCTACCCCCTTTTCATCTCTACTACCACCTTGTCTAAATCACTGTCATTACTTCCTTGATCTACAGTATATTCATTCATCAGCAAATAATTATTGAGTTCTCACTACATCCCAGGCACTCTTGTAGGTTAAAGGGGTCAGAATATGGCATCTGAAAATTTGCTACTTTGGCTTAAGAATTATTTTGCGCCAAAGGTGTTTGCGTTCCTGAAATCCTTTATATGCCTAAAAGCAGAGCCTCCCAAAGAAACTCAGCTGTCTTAAGTCCTCTCCCAGAAAGCAACTCTAATTTTCTCTTCTCAGAAAGTAGTCAGCACCACACTCAGACATTGTTAAAACTATCATATCTCTCATCCACCTATGGGCCCATGTATATTTCCAAAAAGTTGTTCGCTTTTCCTAAAGTGTCCTATCTTCCTCTTCCTTTCCCCCAATAAGTTAGGTATATAGACCCCAAATTCTAACCACTCCTTTGAATTACTCATCTCTGAGTGCTTTCATGTCTATGTGTGACGTAGGGCTAATAAACACTGTTTTTCTCCTGCTAATCTGTCTCTTGTCAGTCCAGTTTACAGGAACCCAACTGGAGAACCTGGGAAGAAAGAAGGAAAAAGAGTTTTTCCTCTCCTATGTAGGCACTGAGGATACAGCAGAGAATCAACTGTTTCTACTTCGTAAGAAACACCTAGACGTTTGGATCTATGCTTTGTCTTCCAACTACAGGAGAGATGCTTGTATAAATAAATGGTGCTCAATAACAGTTGACTCTTGAACAATTGTGGAGTTTAGGGGCACTGATCTCCCAAGCAGTTGAAAATCCACATATAACCTTTGACTCACCCAAAACTTATTGGAAGTCTTACTGATAACATAAACAGTCAATTAACACATTTTTTGTAATATGTTATATACTGTAGTCTTCTAATAAGCTGGAAAAAGAAAATGTTTTTTTCAAATTGTTACAAATCTCAAAAAAATTTTCAATATATTACTGAAAAAAATCCATGTACAAGTGAACCTGTGCAGTTTGAATCCTATTGTTCAAGGGTCAACTATATATGAAAACCAGTACAGGCAAAATTCATGGCATTGGTGCCAATACATAAAAGACAACATGTGGTATAAGTTGTGGAGAACTATTGGAGAACAGATGCCTTTACTACAGAGCAGCCTCAATCAGGTGCTGCCAAACAAAAATACAGACCCATGTTATTGAGACCTTCTGCTTTTTCAATCCAAGTTTTATGTGAAATCATGTTATGGTTTGTTTGTTGCTGTGCTTTTAAAATGTATTTCTTACAATACCTTATGACCCACATTACACATGATTCCTTATATGCCAATATATATATGTATTTTTAAATCACTGCGCTTTTATGGTGTTAAAGTATCTAAACCCTGAAAATATTCTTCATCTGAAATAGGTCAGATCCCAGACATATAGAATAAACAATGCTTTGCCATATTTTTAGCAATGCTTCCAAAACTTTATCATTTTAAACAAATTTAGCACATCAAGAATAGAAGCAACTTCCTTTACTTAGTAAAGATTATATCCACAAAAACCTTCAGAAAATTAATAGAAAAGCTTTAGAGATATTTCCTTTAAGATCAGGAACAAAAAAAAGACAACCTCTAACACTGATTCTTTTCTTTCCTTGATGATTAGAAGATATTTATTCTTGATTTTCTGCTCATATTTGGGAGAAAACTCATGATTATTTTGCTGTTCTTGCCTCATCTTTCTATTGCAATAGTAGCTAGATAGTATCATGATAGACCTTGTATGGGATGTCTTTTTTGAAAATAATTTGGAAAAGACTATGTCATGGCCCTTGATGTGATTCTTTTTTTTTCTTGTGGTATATTATGTATAACATAAAAGTTACCATCTTAACCATTTTCAAGTGTACAGTTCAGCAGCCTTGTACATTCACATTATTGTGCAACCATCACTGCTATCCATCTCCAGAATTTTCTCATTGCACCATACTGAAACTTCATGCCCGCTAAACAGTAACTCCCCATTTTCCCCTTCTCCCAGCCCTCAGTAAGCACCATTCTGCTTTGTCTCTATGATTTGACTATTTTAGGTGCTTCACATAAATGGAATTATACAGTATTTGTTCTTTTGTATCTGGCTTATTTCACTTAGAGTAATGCCTCCAAAATTCATCCATGTTATAGCATCTATCAGGATTTAATTTTTATTACTAAGATTCCATTGTATCTACATACTACTTTTTGTTTACCCATTAATCTGTTGATGGACATTTAGGTTGCTTCACCTGAGCTATTGTCAATGATGCTAAAACAAACACTAGATTACAAGTACCTGTTTTTATCCCTGCTTTCTATACCTAGGAATGTAATTTCTAGCTTTTTGAGGAACCACTAAACTATTTTTACAGCAGCTGCACCATTTTACATTTCTACCAGCAATGTACAGGTTTCTAATATCTGCACATCACCAGTATTATCTTTTTTTTAATAATAGCTATCAGTGAGTGTAAAGGGATATCACATTGTAGTTTTGATTTGCATTTTTCTAATGATTAGTGGTGATGAAAATGTGCTTATTGGTCATTTGAGTATCTTCTTTGGAGAAATGTCTAAGTTCTTTGCCTACTTTTGAATTAGGTTGTTTGATTTTTGTGTTGCGTTGTAGGAGTTCTTTATATATTCTGGATATTAATTCCTCATCAGATATGGGATTTGTTAAGTATTTTTTTCCCACTCTGTGGGTTGCCTTTTTACTGTAAAAATGTTTTTAATTTTGGTAATGTCCAAAATGTTTATTTTGCCTGTGCTTTTGGGATTCAAAAAATCATTGCCAAAATAGTGTCATTAAGTTTTCTGCTCGTTTCCTTCTAAGAGTTTTATAGTTTTCACTCTTACGTTAAAGTCTTTGATTCATTTTGAATTAATTTTTATACATGGTTTCAGGCTAAGGCCCAACTTTATTCAGCACCATTTGTTGGAGAGACTGTCCTTTCCCCAGTTGATGTTGGCTATTGCTTTAATAACTAAACCAAAACAGTTCAAAGTGTGCTGGCTAAACAACACCTGTAAGTCTGGATTTTAGCCCAAAAGTCACTCACTTGCAGTATGTGCCTTAACTTCATTTTCTCATTATCAAACTAGCTAATGGAAGCGAGATATATTAGTGTTGCCTACCGTTCCAGACATTGTACCAGATACTGGTGATAAAACTGGTCAAGAAGTTTAAAAAGGTGAAGTCCTGGAATTAAGGAATTTAAAGCTGAGACTTGTGAAAACATCATTTTATTTTAGTGCTACGTGAGTAAATGCTTATAAATAGTAGGACTAAGCGGCCAGTAGGTTAAGAGAAGAAGATTAGAAAGTTTTTTTAAATAATAGGGGAACGAGGGGCGGGGGGCGAGTGACCCCCCAAGCCCACCCGTTGAGAAAGTCATCAGCACGGCCCCGCGACCGGAAACAAACCTTTTCTACAGCAGCGAGGCTTTCTGGGACAGGTTTTCACTGTGTGTCAAGACGTCAGAATGCAGAGCCAGGAAGTGAGGGCGGGGTTTCCGACTGCGAGTCGCGGGTCAGTGACGTATGCTATGTGAACTGATAGGCCTACTGCAGGTCATGTGCGGCGCGGCACCCCGAGCAGCACTTTACGACGGAATCCTGCGGCCTCTCGGGGTTCATGCACCGGCGGGAGCCAGCCACTCTGTGCATTTCTGGTAGGGCGTGTTTTTTGTCATCACCCAGTGTGTGTGTGTGTGTTGAGGTGGGAGGATACGGGAGACGTTCTAAGATACACTTAGTGGAGCATGTGCGCCAGGGCCACCGCAGGTAAGAGGAAGCCCACTGATTGAATAAACTCAAAATGATATCCTTGTTCGCTTTTAAAACTTTTGGGTTTTCATTTCTGTGATATCCTAAAAATCTGTACCAGTTTAAAAGACAAAACTCAAAAGACTTATTTCTGAAATCAGTGTTTCTTATACTGGGGCTGAAGACTTCCGGTTAAATATTTTGAGGAGTCTAAATTGTTTTTTAAAAGGTGTCTGAATATGTTTTAAATGTGAAAGCATTGACCCAGGGTATTCATACTACTAGAGTGATTACTGTGAGTCTATATTGCCAAGACTGGGTTCATTGAATATTGAGTATTTGTCCTGGTAAACTTCACATCTAATGAGGCAGGTAAGTAACCAGGCAATTACAATACAGCGTTACAAGGTACTGTGATAGAGAGGTACAGGGTGCCAGAAGAACTACTAGGAGGAAAATTTCATCCAACGTCTGAAGTGAAGAAAAGCTAGAAATGTAGCCAAGAGGTAAACAAAAGGTGATTTCGTGAAAAACTATAAGCCACGTTTACAAGTTTGGACTTTAACCTGGCAACATAGGCTTAGCAATACACATTGGGGATGATATGAGTGCACTCATCTAATTTGTACTAGTTACAAATGGCTTAGACATAAGACAGCAAATATGGAAATGCAATTAAGAAATTGGGGTTTAAGAGAAGTCAGTGGGTTCAAGAAATACTTAAAAAGTAGAGTGAATATAACTTAAATGGATGAGGTACGGTGTGAGAGAGGACAGTAATGAAATGACTCCCAGTTCCTGGCTTCAGCACCTGGATGGATAGCAGTGTACCACCTGATACAACACAGAAGGAAAAGCAGGAGGGGAAGGTAAGGAAAAGAGATTATTTCAGTTTGTTGCATTGGAATTGTCTTCTGATGTATGATGATTGAAGCCATGGAGGTAGATCCAACCTTATAGGGAAAATGTTTAGATCGAAAAAAGAGCAAACATTTATATATAGGGAACATTATATATAGGGAAACATTATATATAGGGAACATTATATATAGGGAAACATTATATATAGGGAAAATGTTTAGATCGAAAAAAAGAGCTTACTGAGGGCTGGGAGAAGGGGAAAATGGGGAGTTACTGTTTAGCGGGCATGAAGTTTCAGTATGGTGCAATGAGAAAATTCTGGAGATGGATAGCAGTGATGGTTGCACAATAATGTGAATGTACAAGGCTGCTGAACTGTACACTTGAAAATGGTTAAGATGGTAACTTTTATGTTATACATAATATACCACAAGAAAAAAAAAGAATCACATCAAGGGCCTTTGCTCTTTTTTCCACCTTTAAGATGGGGGATGGGGGATGGTATGTCTGAGCATCAAGTGCATAGATGAGAGAGGCAGGAGACCCAGGAGCATGCAGTCATTAAATGAAGCCAAGGAAAGAAGGATTTTTTTTTAATATAATTGCTTTTTGTAAAAAGTTGGATTTTTTTTTTCTTCAAATCCTGCCCTAGTTTCACATTTTTAAGCATCTTAATTTTTTGTGGACATTAGTCCTTTAGGATAAAACTGTGGAATATATATATATATATGTACATATGCCCTAATTTTGGACATTTTGTTGGACAGTAACATTATTTGCTGCAAAATAAGGTCTGAACTGGAGAAAGGAAGTTTTTATTTTGCTTTAAAATTAGTATTTCTCTTTATATTTCTATTTTGAAAATGTATGAGGGCATTGGTATAGCAGCTCCAAAGCACCTTTTATTAGTTGTCATCTGTAACTTTTCTGCCCTTTGTCTTTATGTGTTGCTAATATTAAGGATCTTGTGTTTGTATCTGTTATCTGGGCTTGGTATAGAATGGAAAAGAATGCAGAATCATGATCTCAGCCATGTCAGTGGTACACAACTATGTTATTCAGTAACATTAATTTGGGCCCCTAGATACATAGATCCAAATAAATTCTAAAATTTTTGCTTATGAGTGATTCATAGGCTCTGGGCCACAGGAGTCTAGGAAAAATTAATGGTGCAGCATATAAACCTATACTAAGATTCCATTTTGTGTTTCAGGTGTCAGTTGTATTTTGTTGTCTCAAATTTATATTTGCACAGTAAGCTGAGAGATTTTAAAAATCTTTAACTTTTTATTACATTTTTCTTCTTTCATAGGGGTTTTCTTACATGTCTGTTTACCTCAAAATGAGTGTTAGTTTCACCTTTTTAAGACCTTTTGCCCGATTTTTGATGCCATTTGCCCTTCATAGGAAGAGAAGGTTTTTATATTCAACGATTCTACAGAGATACATGTCTTCCAGAACACCATCTGTGTCCTATCCTAATAAGGAGAATACATCACCTTCCAAAGAGCTGGAATTGGATGGATGGAAAATTACAATGAAATCTAGTGTGCAAGAAGAAGGTGTTTCAACAATCTCAAGTGACAAGGATGAAGATCCTCTAGCTGCCACCAAGGAATTAATTGAGATGTGGAGATTGCTTGGCAAAGAAGTACCCGAACACATCAGTGAAGAAGATCTGAAAGCTGTTATGGAATGTGTTTCTAAGTCATCAAAAAAAAAATATTTGAAATATTTATATGTTAAGGAAAACATGAAAAAAGCTAAGCAAATAAAAAAGGAAATAAAAGCAGCAGCAAGGGAAAAAGCAAAAAAAGACCAGCTTCTAGAAACCACTAAGGAAGACAAACAGCAAAACTTTCTCTTTCTACGACTTTGGGAAAGGAATATGGACATTGCAGTGGGTTGGAAGGGTGCCCAGGCCATGCAGTTTGGGCAGCCTTTGGTTTTTGACATGTCTTACAATAATTATATGAAACCAAAAGAACTGCAGAATACTGTTTCTCAACTTTTAGAAAGTGAAGGGTGCAACAGAAAAAATGCTGATCCTTTCCACATTTATTTCTGCAATCTTAAAATAGATGGTGATTATCATAGAGAGTTAGTTAAACGTTATGGAGAAAAATGGGACAAATTGCTTTTAACAGCAACAGAAAAATCTCACACAGATTTATTTCCAAAGGACAGTATTATATATTTAACTGCAGATTCTCCCAATGTTATGACTACTTTCAAGCATGACAAGATTTACATAGTGGGATCTTTTGTCGATAAGAACATGCAGCCAGGCACATCCCTAGCACATGCAAAACGGTTCAATCTAGCAACAGAATGTCTTCCATTGGATAAATATTTACAGTGGGACACTGGTGGCAAAAATCTCACCTTAGATCAAATGATGCGTATTCTTTTGTGTCTGAAAAACAGTGGTAGTTGGGAAGAGGCTCTGAAGTTTGTTCCACAAAGAAAACATACTGGTTTTCTGGAGGTTTCTCAATTTTCTCAGGCATTTGTCAACAGACTGAAGAAGTCAAAGGCTTTTAATTCATTTCCAAAAGTCTCTAATCGACACACACAAAAGGTGTTGTAAAGTGATAGCTTAAAAAGTAAATGGTCACAATATATGTTAAGTCAAACCACCATGTCTTAGAGTGATGTTAAGTCAATTATTGTTCAGTAAAAGGGGTGAAAAAGCAAATGGACTGGAAATGCAGTTCTACTAGTCTGTTTCTTCCTGAATGGAATCACTTACTCTTTCTTTTAAAGTTTGTCTTTCCAAACTAACTCAAGTGTTGTGTCTTTCCACAGTTAATATCTGCAGAACTTTGGAAATATATTTTGTTTACTATAAAAATAAGTTTAGTAATCTTTGAAAGTATAAAGTATTGTCCAAGTTTGTTGAGCCCAATAAAACAATTGTACCATTGATGTGGCTTTTTGTGAATACTTTGAGTCTCAGACTCCATTTTCCTTCTTACAATGTCAGCAACTACCCTTTTGTCTAAAAGTGGTATTGAAAAGATATGCAAACTTCAGATGATGGTTCATTCATTAAAGTAACATTTGGTACAGTGCCGACATGTCAGGTACTAAGGTATATTGGGTTTTTTGTTTTACTTTTTATTGAAGTATAGTTGATACACAATAGATTGGTTTCAAGTACACAACACAGTGGTTCAATGGTTGTACACGTTATTAATTCCTCACCTCAACTAGTGCAGTTACTATCTGTCAGGACAGAAAGATGTTACAGAACCACTGGCTATATTCTCCATGCTGCACTTCCATCCCCATGATCACCTTATGATTGAGATTTTTGTGCCTTTGTCCCCCTCACCTTCCCCACTCACCCACCCCAACCCCTTCCCCATGGTAACCACCAGTCACTTCTCAGTATCTATGACTCTACTGCTGTTTTGTTCCTTAGATTCTACATATAAGTAAAATTATATGGTATTTGTCTTTCTCCACCTGGCTTATTTCACTGCATAATACCCTCTGTCCATTCATGTTGTTGCATATGGCAGGATTTCTTTCTTACAGCTGAATAATATTCCATTGTGTATATGCATGTACCTCTCTCCATTCACCTATTGATGGACCCTTTGGTTGCTTCCATAAGTTGGCTATTATAAATAATGTGGCAATAAACATAGTTGCATATATCTTTTTGAATAAGGGATTTTGTTTTCTTTATGTAAATTCCTACAAGTGGAGTTATGGTATTTGTACATTTAGTTTCTTGAGGAACCTCCATACTGCTTTCCATAGTGACTGTACCAATTTACATTCCCACCAGCAGTGTCTAAGAGGGTTAGGTATATTGTTTAACCAAATCTTAGTTCAACAAAAGGTTAAGACATACATTGGCATGTCATATATTTGGCTGTATTATGAAAAATAGGCTTAGGGCATAAAGTTCATTTTCTGTCCTCTTAGAAAAGAGTGGCTTATTTGATAAGTATTACATATAGCACTGCCTATTGTAGTGTAGATAGGTTTCCTTTCTAGAAAATAGTTGCTTTTCTCCAGTCATGTGATTTGAATGGAAGCTGCCATATTTTTACAGACTCGCTCTTCTGGCTGCAGCTCGTTATCCTAAAGGAGACACCTCACTCAAGCTTAGAGAAGGGTATCTAACTTTCAAATAGGCCAGTCACAACTATTCTCGAAGGTTTTTGCATTTATGAACTAACCTGCATCAAATCCTTTCTGGTGGTGGACTTTGATAGATAAGAAGCTCTGGAATTGATGGTGGCCATATCCTTTCATATAAAGGAAGCCAGGCTATCATGGGAGAGAGTGAAACTCATATACAGAAATAAGACCAGTTTCTGGAGATGTTCAGATTTCTGTCTCAGTTGTCCCTGAGGTTCAGCTATAGGTTTGCCTGTAGCATTTATTGGTTGTTCAAATACATGTAATACCCTGATATCCCTCTAATAAGTTCCCCTTTCTTGTCTAAGCCAGTTTGAGTTTGGTTTCTGTCACTTGCTATTTAATAAGTCCTAATATACTTGAGAAAATGTGTACTTGTTCCCTAAGCAATAAAATTTAGAAACCATATTGATTATAGACTGTGTGTACCATTAACTTTTAAAACATGGGAAATGGAGATGTACAGCCAACTATTTCTACCTAGTTTCTGAAGAAATTAGCTTGAGATATGCTACCCAATATGCTTCTTAAAGCAGGACCTAATCTTTTACCAAATAGGACCAAATACCCACTCTGTGCCAAACAGTATACAGTTTACATTAATTACTTAAACAACTAAGTTACAGGTACTATCATTAACTCATTTTTACAGATAAGGAAAATTTACTCAAAATAATTCAGCCTTTAAATATAGTCTCAGAATTCAAAATATCTGACTTTAAAGTCCCAGCTTTTATACTATAAATTATGCTTTCAGTAAGGCAAGTAGAAAAGTGCAATGAAAAAACAAGGGGAAAAATTTGTGGGGTCAGGAAAAGCCTTGAGAAAGTGATGTATAATCTTAGAATTGTGTGATATGAAGAAATTTCAAAAAGTTAAAACCCTACTAAGTTAGACCCTACTAAGTGACAAGGTGCTAGTTCTTGAACTGCTTATGATAGACTGGAGATAAAATGGTATATCAGCTAAGAGCAAGGGGTTAAGATTGCCTGTCACGACCAGCACTAGAGTGAGACAGACAAGTCTCCTGGGGTCCTTCACTGGTCTCTCAAGTCCCAGCCCTGCTCCCTGGGTTCTGGCTCCACCAGTGTTGCCTAAATTGCTTCATCTCTTGAAATTTCAGTTTTCCTCATCTGTGAAAAGATTAGAAATAATTCTTGACATGTAAAACATTTAATATGGTATCTGGCACATAAGTACTATGTAAATATTAACTAATTCTGATGGTACACTGAAAATGTATGAGAATTTCTAATGCTAGTATATGCAAGTTATTGTGTCCCTTTGAAGCATATGTTCTATCTGTGTAACAGTATGCTAAGGCTACTGTATTAAGACTGGATTATAAGAGAGGGATCAGTTAGGAGGCTATTGCCATAACAAAGGTTAAAGACAATAGTGGGTTGGACCAGGGTGGCAGAAGAGTAGATACTGGAGGGTGGCAAAGAAGTCCTAGAGATGGTGAGCACAAACAATCCTCTCAAGAATTTCTATATCAAGGGAAATAGTAATGAACTAGAGGAAGATCGGAGATCATGGGAAGAGTCTTGTTTTGTTGTCTTGTAAAGATGAGATACAAAAACAGCCTGCTCAATGCTGTTGGGCATAATCCAGTGATGGGGGGAAAAGCCTGATGAAACAGTGGAGAGGAGTGATGACTGTGTAAGCAAGAAGGGTGGGATTTGCTGCATATGTAACACAAGAGAAGATATAAAATGTAAGTACACATACAGTTACCAAACCACAGATAGGGTAAAAATATGTAGAAGTTATGTTTCAGCTATTTCCTCAATGAAAATAAAGTCATCAAATGAGGGGGAGGAAATACTGGTCATTTTTTGGAAAGCAAAGTGTGAAATAGTCCAAATGTGAAGGAGTCAGGGCACTAGTTCTCAAAGTGTGGTCCTGAGTCCAGCAGTATCAACATCATTTAGGAACTAGTGAGAAATGCAAAATTTTGGACCCCACTGGAATCTACCTGAATCAAAAACTCTGGCAGTGGCACCAGACTTTTAACTGTTTTAACAAGCCCTTCAAGTGATTCTGATATACACTAAAACTTGAGGATGGTATAGGGAAATATAATAGGATTACAAAGCTGCATGAACAATCTACTCAAAGTCAGTGAAACTATGATTAGGTACTTTTCCTCTCTGATTTTGTTGTAACTCTCTGCATGAATTCCAAGTTCAATTCTAAGTTCCATTTCTTACCTTAGAGTCCCAGTTTCCTCTTCCATAAAAGTAGCACTTAATTCATAGGGTTGCAATAAATTAACATACTTGATTTTTTATTAAAAACTATGCACTCTGCCCTGCAACTACCTAACCCATTTAGGGGGTTACGAAGCTTGCGTTCATTTCTTCAGTGAATTATTTATTGAAACTGGTATAACCAGGTGCTGGAAAAACGATAATGAGCCAGATAGGCACAACAGAACCTCATGGAACTGAGAGGTGAATTAATATCTTCCATTAATATCTTCAGTATACAGAACTGGATCTGCTTCCACAGAACTGTATATAATTTTTCTGAACTTCATTTTCCTTATTTAAAAATACAGGCATTTGTAAGTAAGTACATACATAATTTCACATAAAAAATCTCAAGATTTATGTCTCCATTATGAATGAAGTGCGAGTTTCAGTGATAAAATAACTTGGCAAGAATCGCACCTAGGAAAAAAAATGAAACATGTGAATTCAGAACCTGCTCTATGAAAATATTTTTGCTGGGCACTTTAACATATAGTCATAAATGGTGGACCAGGGACTTCAAATCACCAGATTACCAAATTACCACATCACCACCAAACTCCCCTGCTTCTGTCAAGACCCACTTTGATTCTCCATTCCCCAGACTTGGAGCCTGAGGAATCATACATGCACAAATACTGAGTACCTTTCATATATCAAACATGTAGTACAAAGTGCTGTGAAGGAAATTTTGTGAAAAATGGTCTCTGTCAAAGAACTTTTAAGCCATCTGGGGAGACTTTTTTAAAAAACATATTTTGGGAAGTAAAAGAATGGTATACAGAAACTATCTCATTTGATCCTCATGACCACACTTTGAGAAGGTACTATTACTACTTCTATTTTATAGAGAAGGAAACATAGGTCTTCAGACATTAAAAACACTCCCTATTCATTCAACCAGTAAAAGTCACATCAGGGACTCAAAACCATGTCCTTAAAACTTATTTCTGTAACATTCACTGTATATTGTACGGCAAACCTAGAAATTACAGGTCCATAGGCCAGGAACTGACCCTGTATGGCACGAGATAAGTATAGAGATGTAAGGGCAAATGAAGCTAAAAAATAGGCTGAGGCCCAATACATTTGGACTTCATTTTGTAAACCGTGGGATCCACTAAAAGGTTCCTAAGGCAGAAATTTCTGCAGTCTTAATTTAATTAACTTCTCCTGTCTTGAGATAGAAATTGAGGACTGTAGGGGAAAAAAAGTTTTACCGTTGGCCATGTGACCGTGGACAAATTACTCTGTCCTAACTCTCACAGCTTGATTACAAAGAGGGTAATTACGCATTGGTCTATTGTGGGGATTAAACGAGGTACGGTCGGACACAAGAGGGCGCTCGATAAACGTTGATTTCTTTCTACGGCCTTAGTTTTCCGTTTTCTTTTTAAGTAGGCACACGTGTGCCAGCAAGACTGGAAAGAAACACGTTGCTAGATTCAGCTGCAACCACACCCCTATCTGCAGAAACTTTACATTCCACCAACGTTTCCACGGTGATGTTCCCACCTTCCCCTCAGTTCTCTGCACCGGCCACCGGAACCTGATAATCTACCAAGCAACTTCTAGTGAAGTCCCTAACCAGCCCTCCAAACCTGCAGCCCAACCTACCCCGCCCTTCCTCCGGAGGCGTCTTGTCGATGACGTCAGTCCGCTTCCGTTTCCGAAACGGCCTGTACGCTTTCCAGGGCCGCTCTAGGCTGGCTCCCCCCAGAGGCTGGCTCCGAAACTCAGTGATTGCTGGGCTGGGCCGTGACGTCCTTGGCGTGGCTGCAGGGGAGGCCGCGGCGGGGAAAATGGCGGACGGGAAGGCGGGAGAGGAGAAGCCTGAGAAGCCGCAGCGAGCTGGAGCCGCCGGAGGTGAACACAACCCCAGCGACGCGGGCTGCGTGGGATGCTCTGGGCTTTCCTTTGAGCTCCCCGGGTGGGGGGAGTAAGGTGGGGCGAGAATGGGCCGATCTGGCGCTCACCCTGCCAGGTGCTGGGCCCAGACGAACCCTGGGCACGCCCGGCGCGGCCCACTGGGAGCCAGGCCCACATAGCCTCCTTGCCGGGGCAGAGCTGGCTACTGTTCGTCACCTCCTGGCCCCAGCGAAGGCCCTGCTTCCCAGGAGAAGGGAGACGGTCACCATAAAGGGGGACGGAACTCGGGGTGGGACTTGGAGCGGCGGTGCAGGAGCCGCTACCACCACACTGGAGACGCACATCACACAAAATACACACGCGTACACTCAGGGCGAGTCACCGAGCCGTGGCCACAGGAACTGGCCGCAGGCCGAGTTTCCGACCATGCCGGCCTCTCAGTTACACGGAGTTGGTTCGCTGCCCCCTTCTCGCTAAGGAGATGGCCGACCCCGGCCTTTTTTTTTTTTTTTTTTTCCCCAAACCGAATACCGACCTTGTAACCGGACGGGTCGAGGCGATGGAAGTAAAGAGGAATACCTTTGCCGGCCCGCTGGGTTAAGCTGTGAGGTCTAGGGTAGGTCTAGGTGTGGTTGCCTGTATTTGAAGTGTCGGCCTTTTCTGAGCTGGCTCTTGCTAGCTAACTGCACGCCATATACTTAGGTGGCTAAATAGGCTAGTGTGACTCTCTGTATTTTGTTACGATGTAAACTCGGGTTACAGCTATTTTTATTTGTCTGCTACACCCTTGTGAATGTGGGTCTTGTGCATTAAGGAAAAGAAACGTGTAATCTCTCCACCCCATCCCCACCCCTTTGTCGTAACAAGACAAGTAATTTAATACATGCGAGCTGATAATGTCTTTAGAACGTTCTGAGTATTACTCTTACTCTTTAATTCCCTCAAATCTTATCCCTGAAAGTACTTAGCATGGTAAAATACAGAAGAGTGATGCATATGAAGGCATTTAGGACGTACAGATAAGATGTTTAATTTGAGTTGCTTTGGAAACAAAAATTAAGAAAAATGTAATATTGAGTTACATTGGATCCAGAATTTACTTTTTTAAAAAACAAGAAAACTGCTGATACTTCAACCCAAACTCGCCCCTCTTCTTACTATCCCCTTCCCCATTTTGTCCACTGGTTAGTTTATGAAACAAGTTTAAACCATCTAGTACATTTCTTTTCCTCAAAAATTACTGTCTTCAAATTTATTGAGTAAGATCACGTAAAAAATTAGTAGTTCGAGGAAAAACAAAGAACTGTAGCCTAAAGAATCTTAACCTGGCTTTTAGACTATCTTTTAACTTTTTAGAATGGCTTTCTGTCTTGACTTAAGAGTATTAAAGATGTGTTTAATGTGTTGCCAAACCGTACTTTAAGTTCAGCATAATTCCACTCTATAAATTATCCACCACCCTTTCACTTAGAGATAATTATCTCTCTAGTATGAGTATGATGTTTCCATTCTAGCGTATTTGTGGGGCGGGTGGGGGGGGATAAGATTATCTTTGCTAATTGGTATAAAAAATTATTGTGGTCTCCTTGGTGACTTAGAATAAGCAATATTCCTTGATAACTTGTACATAATTTGCCTTGGGTGTGCCACCTTTTACAAGAAAAATGTGCTTTGCATCTAAACCATTTTTGAATGTTAGATAACAATTGTGCAGAAGTATCTTAGCTAAAACAATACTGTAGGTATTGCTAAATTGTCATTTTATGGCAAATAGGCACCGTTTTGAAACACTTATCATGTTAGTCTTAGAGGTGTACCTAGAGAATATTCTGACTTTTAATTCCTGTTGAACAGTCCAGTAAGTTGGAAGTATTTTTTTATGAGTAGATTACTTCCATAGTTAACATGAATTTATGTCAGTAGGAAGAGCTACTTGTACTACCTGCTCTCCCCTTAAAGAGGAGAGAAAATGCTAAGGGTAAGGGTTTGCATAGTTTTTTTTTTCCTTCCTTTGGCTACATTTTTGTAGCTCCTTGAAATAAGTAGAAATTTCAGAGGAGAGTTGTTCATATCATAGCTATGGTCATTTCGGGCTATTTTAGGTTATCTAGTAACTACTTTAATGAAATTGACATTCATTTTGCCAGACATTAGGAGGATCTTGAATATGTTCTCATTTGAGCTGCACACCAGTCCTATTAGAGGTAGTTATATGCCCTTTTTTCACTCAAAGAAGCCACCAGAATGCAAATGGATTATGAAGGGTACCAAACTTATTCAAAGTAAGGTACCTTTTTCCTCCAAGGTCCATCTCTTCCCCAACTATTTTAATGGAGAAGAAAAAAAACTTAGTACTTATGTAATTTAATTTCACATTGTTATCGACACTTTTTGTTTGCTCAGAATGAATACAGACTAGATAAAATCCCTTTTATTAAAAAATCCCTGATAAAGATTCTAGTAATTTGATATTTTATCCATGTTTTGTTATAAATTGATTTCTGATTTTCTCAATTTTCAAAAATTGACCATATATTTATTCTTTAAAATATGTTACACTGCTAAAATTTTTCACATTACTAATGCATGTTCAACCAAAATTTGGTTTTCCAGTCCCAAATTGCATACATCTCATTAAATAAATTGAAAACAGTTCTTGATTTAAAACCCCAAATTCTGAAGTACTGCTTGTTGTATTTAAAGAAAAACAATGGACTTAGGAATTAATATTGATATTTATTGATATATTTCAAAGCTCACATTAGGCTGAAATCACTTTCTCTTCTAATGAACTACAGATAAACTTGTAGAAATTGTAATACATTGATCATAACATAGATTTGGTCATCATACTTTACCATGTCACTTCATTGCTTATTCCACTTGCCTTATTTCCTAAATGTTTCGTGTATTTTACTACATAATTGCTAGAAAAGGATTACGTAAAGAAAAAACAACAGCTCCAATCCATGTGACACATTGAGCCATTGAAGGCTAAGTAATGAATACTAATAGGGCACCCACCTTCCTTCACTCCTTTTCCCCCACCTCTTCATTGAAGAGTAGATGTTTTCTAAAGCTATTGATATTTACAATTGCTTAAAAAAACTTGAAGGTGAGCAAGGCCAAACAATTACTTACTATGTCCAGAAATAAATTGCTGGATGTGGAATCAGTCATGTATAGAAATGACCTAGTAGACCTTAGTATGTTTAATCTTTAGTGTGGACTTGAAATGTGGGTGGTCTTAATAGATTGCCTCTTCAGATGACAAGAAGAGCAAATATGAATAAAATTGAGTCACTGCCAGTTGGTGACTTAATTACTCGTAGTTTTCCCAATTCCCCTGTTCATGCCGCCTTTCTAGAGCAGTTTCTAGAAATCTTCCTTACAACATCCATGGCACTGGGTAGATAGTATAGAGTTCCATGTATTAGCACATAACTAGTTCAGCTGTTTGTCACACTTAATGCTGTAATTATTAATATTATAGTAAGATTTTCTCTTCTCATAAATACGCTTTGATATTTCTAGGTTATTTCGAAGTGATTTTCTGGGCAAAAGGAGGTTTAGAATTAAGAAAGGGTAGGTTTTAAGGAAATCTTCACTAATTACAATCCTTGGGTCACAGTTCAAAGAGCAGAATTACACTACAGTCAAGACTAAATGTTCTTTATGCCTTTTGCTTTGATGTTTGAAAGTTCAGAGTTTTTGTTTGCACAAAACTTTTGCCTTTAGTTTATTAGATTGTATGTAAATTCAGTGGGTTTTCTTATGTTTCCATATGTAGAGTCAATGAGTTTTCAATTTTAGCTATGTCAGTCACAAAGAACTAGTTATTACTGGGTTTTACTATAAAATTCATACTTGAATTAAATATATAGAATGCAGAATAAAATTTAGCACATATAATTTTAATTATTAATTTAGACTTTGAAAAAACTAATGTTAGGATAATACTTTTTTTAAGAAATAAAAAACTGAATTCTGTATTTCACCTGTTGAGTAGCAGTTTTATATTCTTAAGTGCTTTTGTGATTGTGTATCTAAATAAGTGAATGGCACTGCAAGCAACTATTCCAGTGTTCTGCTTGCCTTCTGGGGAAATTCCAGAATAATCCTGCTTAATTCCTCCCTGATACTGTTGTTACAGCTTTTACCCCTTGTCCAAAGGGAATAAAGAGTTCTTTTTATTTTTTCCTCTAAACAAAATCAAATGTTCTATTGAAAGTGCTTATTAGTTTAGAGACCCCCATCATTCCAAAACTATATTAATTGGAATCCATAGCCTCTGGTCTTTTAATCCATTACTCATTCTCTTTGTGTTTTCGTTACCGTTTTTTCTCCCATTCTAGTTTTTTGTCTTGTTTTCCTAACTTGTCAGGGCCATCCCTGAGAGCATCTTCTCTTTCTCCATAAGTAAATTATTCATCCATTTTATGAGAGTATATTCTATAGGGTGAATTGGTAAACTTGGGAAAGAAAATAGAATGTTTAATAATCAGTCTTACCTTCCAATATATTCTTAAAAAACTTCTTTTATAACAGATCTAAGATATTCAAGATGCAAACTAATTTCATCATTGATTAATACAAACAACCAAAATTACTGAAAGACATCTTGCATTCCAAGTCTACATATGTATGCCCCCTATTATCTGAAATTATAATAAATTCATCTTTCAAAGAGAAAAAATAATGTGTAAACCCAATTATGACTGTTAATAGCTCTTAAGGGTAGCTTAAAACAGGTGATAATCAAGCTTGCAGAGTAGAATTACATTATTCAGGAATGGATGACCTTGACAAACTCTTCCTTGGAATTCTTTTCAAAAATTGTGTGAGAAGTACATGAGAAACACATCACTCAAGAAAATTACTCTAGGCTGTATTCACACTGTAGTTATATCACCAGGACCTGCTTAATAAGCTGTTCATAACTAGGTACTTCATATAACTAGAAGTACATTATCAAAGAATATTAGAATTTATTAGATGCATTTCATTATCTTATGGTATGACTAAATTGTTAACAAATTTGTGTAGAAGGATTTTTAGATCTTTATTTCTAAAATAAAATCCCACTAATAACTAGATTATTGTACAATTTATAATGTTTAGTTGAAGGGTCTTGCTTTTTGTGAACTCTGTGTTTATTATTTTAAATTGCTCTGTATTTTATGCTAGTTAATTCATGGGAGCCTCTTCTATTGCCACACAATCTCAGTTCCTGCTGTATACTCTAACAAACAGTGGAAGAGACTGTTGGGTCAGTAGGTAACAGCTGCAGAGGTATCTTCCTTATAACGATGCTTTTTGAGGTTGCTGCTCCCTTCAATCTGCTCAGTAAAAATAGCTCATCTTGGTAAGTTGTTTCGACTTCACCAGGACCTGAAGAAGAAGCAGAAAAACCTGTGAAAACTAAGACTGTTTCTTCCAGTAATGGAGGGGAAAGTTCCAGTCGCAGCGCTGAGAAGCGATCAGCTGAAGAAGAAGCTGCAGACCTCCCAACAAAGCCTACAAAGATCTCCAAGTTTGGATTTGCCATAGGTAGTCAGACGACAAAGAAAGCCTCAGCCATATCCATCAAACTTGGATCAAGTGTGAGTTGTTATTTTATATGTTGATAATGGATCTTAAGAATTTGTTTTGGAACCTGCTTTTCTCGGTTATGGTAAACTAAGTATAAAAAGATATGTTGGTGCCTAAACTTATGTGTAAGTATTCAAGAATTTATTAGCTCTGTGTTCAAGAAAGGTCTGGATGAATTTATAATTCATAAAAAACAAAGGTTTGTAATATGAGATGGAACTATTATAGGGAGTATATAATTTATAAAATAATACCTTAAAACTTTTCTAAGTTGAACAAAACCTCTGAAAAATATTTTCAGAAAGAATTTCAGTTTATTTTTCTTATCTTTCAATTCCAGTAATACTAACAATGTATCTAGAAATCAGTTACTTATAGCTTAAGATATTAATATTAGTAAGATAATTGCTTGATAAGAAGAACTTTGTGATTATCTTACTTGAGAGCTACCAATGGGCATTGAGTACCATATATCCTATGACATTGGTCCTTTAGAGATCAACTTTTGATGCCTTGTTTTAAAATGTAAACCTTGAATTCTTAACTATGGAGTTTCTGGAAAGTATTTGAAATATTAGACTGAAACATACACAGTTTGGAAATTGAATAAATTTGAATTTTGAATTTTTTTGATCTATGAAAGTGACAGTTTCATATGGTTCAACGAAATAGATATTTTTTTGTATTGATATGTAGTTGATTACGATCTTATAAGATCTTTAAGAAAAGAAAATTACTTGAATAGTGTTTCACTGTTGGCTTTAGAAAATAGTTACATTCTTGTGGAAGGACAATAATCCTAAAACTGTTTTTAAGTTGTTTAGACATGTCTGATCACTGAATGTTGACTCTCAATTGCCGGATGCATACAGCCTTATTTCTGCATCAGATGTTCATTCAGAGATCTTAAAAATATAATGTGGATCAGGTCCCTACGAGTCATTGTGTTTGAATTACACTTCTAATTTTGAAAGAGCTACCGTTCTTCAGAACCCTTACTCCCACCCTATGCCGTTATTCTTTTTCCCTTTTTCCTTTAAAGTTTCAGTCAGAACAAAAGACATTCGGCTTGTAACTTCATTACTTCATGACTGTTCTATTTGAGCTGATTCCTTTTGTTTAATCTGTTTTTATAAAGTTGCAGAGACCTAACTGCATATGCACTTTTTTTTGGTAGTCAGTAAACACGTGTTCTCATGCATACTCCCATACAGATGTTCCCTTGCTAATAGAATTTACTGTGGTTCAATACACCCCCTAAATCAATAGCCAAATCCCTACTTTTTCTAAATCATTGACCTGATTTAGTAATTGTTGATCATTTTAGTTGAGAGGGATATATTTTTAAAAGCCTACTCAGTAAAACCTTTTAATCTTTGGAAAACAAAAACCTGTTCTCATAAAGTGTAAACATAGTCTTGGGGGAGTAAAATGTAGGATGTAAAAAAATAGTTGAAAGTATTGCTTTTGATTATGGTGTGAAAGGAGTTGATCAACAATTTGTGTAATGTTTTAATGTATAACATCAAATAAATGACATCTTTAAAAGAGGGTTTCTATACTCACCACATACTCTCCAACTTAACATTTTTTTTTATTCCTTCAAAAGCAAACATTGTTTATAAAAAGTGTTTGTATGTTACAAAGGAGGGGGTGATTAATATTGTTTCAACAGGTCAGAGGAGATTTCATTGGTGGGTGATGTTTGAGTTGGCCTCAAAGGCAGGCAGGAGTCAAAAGGCCATCTCATATAAAATTTCATGCAAAGGCAGTTTAGATGAGAAACGACATGGTACATTCAGGAAATTACAGTTAGAAAGTGTTTGGTAGGCACATACTGGGATAGAAAGCCCCCCAGATGAGACTATAACCAGATCCTCCCAAATAGGACCAAATCATAAAGGACTTACAATACAGTTTGGTTTTATTCTTTAGCTTCTGGCTGAGCCATGGAACCACTATAAGGAGTCTCATCCCTTAAACATTGCATTTTAGAAACATCTCTCTGGTACCAGTATAGAGAATTAGAGAGAAAAACACAGAAGGTAGAGAGATGGTATTTCTAATAGTAGTTCAGGAGACTAATGCAAAGAGGCTTTAGGTGTTGGTGTTGTGGTAGTGTGATGGGAAGGCAGAGGGAGATTTAAGTCTATTTAATAGAGATCTAATCAGCAGGACCTTACATAAAATGTGCAAGTTGAGAAAAGGTTTTCCTGGCTTAGGTACCTGTGAACACTATGAAACTAAAGGACCCGTGAGAGCTCTTAACTGAGGCTATCCACTAGGCAGATTACATCCTGTGTGAGGGTAGACATGTTGTTTGGTAGTTAAAACTATAGAAGTGAATGAACTTGTCCAGGGAAGTACAGAGAATGAAGGGTCACTAAGAACAGAATCTTGTGTATCTGTCATTCAAGGAGGTAACAGGAAGAAAGGGAGAGAACAAAAGGCCAGAAAATTAGAATAGCCAGTTAAGCAGTGTCACAGAAGCCACAGTAAGGGTGTTTTCAAAAAAGAACCAGTGATTACTCACATGGAGGACGCTGGTCACCATCTAAGGGAATGAGGAACCTTGGGTAGTGAGGGAGGAAGCCAGATTACAGTGGGTTGAAGACTGAATGGATGACAAGAGGAAGAAGATAGGGCAATTTATTTCAAGGCCTTAGGTTGGATAGAGAAATGAAGCATGTTTCCAGGATAAAGGGCAGAAAGCTGGCTAGGAGAGGGAAAGATGAGTCTCGATGTCTTTTATGTTCTCAATACACACTGTAACTAACTTTAATGTTACTATGGGAAAGTATTACTAATCATTTGCTCTTACCTCTACTAGGTACTGCTTAGCTAAATGGTATTATGGATTGTAACTAGAAATCTTTACAGGAGGAAAACAAATGGACATACAATTAATAAGTAAAACCTGCCCATTGATAACCATATTTTCACAAATAGAACGGATTTCTCCAAAGTTTGTTCTGAATTCCTTACTATGTTTCTATGAAAACATAAAGTTGAATCTTTGAAGATAAATTATATTATCATTAAACAAGGCTGTATAAACATCACGTAATACTCTTTTTAATATGTTTATTCTTCAGAAGCCTAAAGAAACTGTTCCAACTCTTGCTCCAAAAACCCTTTCAGTAGCAGCAGCTTTCAATGAAGATGAAGATGTAAGTTGATAACTAGTTTTATTTTACTATAATCAGTTATTTAAAGAAGATATTAGTGGCATATTGTAGGTTGTGTTTATGTACTAGTGAATTTTCTTTGCAACTCTGAAGAGGCTTTTTGTGACACCTGCAAAACCTGGATTATTTCTATTTTATTTGATTATAGGGTCAAAATACTATTCACTTTGGGGACAGGGAACTTCAGAATCAAGTCGACAGATGTTCATTATGAATAATAATATGTGTGTGTGTGTGCTGGGACATATATAAGATCTAAAAAAAATTTCAGTACTGCTATCTTTAATAATTTTTATAGTTGTAGTCAGTGGTAAGACATTATTATGCATTCCGCTTACAGAAGGCAGCTATAATACTTTCTCCCCATTAACCCATGAGGAATAACAAATAGTGCAAATATGTCAGAAGTTCTGCTCAGTCAGCAGTTCCTAGTCTTAGGCAGTCCTAGTTCCCTCATGCCACTCACAGCATTTCTCTTACTGTGCTTGATAAGAATTACACATTCAGGGGAGCCAAACACTGGGCCCAAAAGGACTGGGAAGAATGTGTAAGAGAAGAAATATGAGTTGGATACTAAAACATTAGGCAGGATTTTGATACTTTATAAACTAAGGAAGGCATCAGCTTTCAAATCACAAGTGGTAAATACTAAGCAGCTGCATTTGACTGGACTGGAGATTTTTATAGAGGAGTTTAGAGTAAGGATAAATGAAATGATTGGAACCCAGATAAGTAGCTAAGTAGAATCACCATGGTTGCCACTTTATTTTCCTTTGGACTTTTACTCATTCTACACACTTGAGTGCTTCCTGTGTGGTAGGCACAGTGAGATTACAAAGATAGACAAATTCCTCTAGGAATTCAACCTAGTAGGACAGAGAGCTTTGTATAAAATAGTGCAAAATAAAAATCAAAAGTCACCTGAAGAGATGAAGTGATGTGGAAATGCAGGGAAGGAAGAGAGGCTGGGTAGTTAGATGTAGCAGCATGGTAAGACCATCTGACTGGCAGTCGGAAGACCTGGATTCTTGTCCTGTCTTGTCCAGTTACTAACCAGTGAAAGCCTGTGAATAAATCACTTTATCCCTTAGGAGCCTTAGATTTTCAACTGTAAAATGACAGTTCAGTTGAGATTAAAGATTTTTAAACTATTTCTCAGAATTGTGGGGTTCTATGGAAATGTCTCAGGAGCTACTGTGAGGTTAGGTGATGCCAGCAAGCTAGGGCTCTGATGATCTGCCCGGTTCACTTATAGCTGTTCTTTGATCTGCTTGATATTTGAAAACCTACGTAAGATTTTGTTGAGGAAAACTATTATATTTCCATCCCCCCAAAAAAGTCAGGAAAGCACTAACAAATAATTTTTAATATTTTCTTTTGTGTCTAACATTCTTAAGAGATTATTGTTTTGGTATGTATGGATTGTATGAGGGAAGGTCAGTATAGGAAGAAGGGAGTAAGGTGCACAAGTTGACAGTGGAAATCATTAAGTACCTACATAATAATAGCAGCCTACTTTGCCCAACAGTTTGCCACATAATTTTATCTTCCATATAGCCCTGTGAATTGTATGATATTCTTATTTGCTGATGGGGAAATTAGGAAATTTAAGTATGCAAGAGTGTGTGCTAATAAACAAACGTTGAGTTCAGCTAAAACTTACTATTCAGCTTTCTTGACTTGTGTTCTTTGCATCATACCTCACTGTTCTCCCTAACTTAGAAGAAATTTTAGACAGGTTCAGATAATACTGTTTCTTCTAAGATGGTAATGATGGTAAAGGATAAACTTAGCCTTAGACAAAAGAGTACAACATGTACATCTAAAATCTTCATCTGGTTTTTCCTTTTTTTTTGTAGAATGTTAATTAAGTAACCTTGGGTATATATCTGAGCCTGAAATATATTGGACAAAGAGGGTATCCATTTAACTAATTTTGAAATCTAGAATTTTTTTCAGTTGTATCTCTTTAGATTTGAGACGATTATTGGGTCTTTATGTGTATTTCATGGCATTAACATTTTTGACGAGTTCAGGCCAATTATTTGTAGAACGTCCCTCAGTTTGGATTAGTCTGATGTTTCCTCATGATTAGATTCACATTCCTTAAGTTTTGGCAGAAATTTCACAGAAGTGATACCAAGTTCTCAATGCCTCGAATCAGGGAGCACATGTCAGTATGTCCCATTATTGACAATGTTAACTTTGGTAATTTGATTAAAGTGATGTTATGTTGGCCAGATTTCTCTACTGTCAAATTACTTTTTTTTTATCTGCTGCAATTAAAACTTATTTTGTGGGGAATACTTTGACAGTATGTGCTCAAATACTTTGAGAATACTTTTTAATTTAATTTCTTAGACATTCACTTACAACTCCTAACATCCATTAATGATTCTTACCAGTCAATTATGATGTTTGACAACTGGTGATTTTTCTGATTGTTTCATTCCTTCTGTATTTATTAATGGCCTCTTACTGTGAGGAAGAGCTTTCCCTTATGTATATAAGTGTAGGCTTATAGATTCTTATTTGTAGCACCTTTAAGCTGTATCTTTAGCTCAGAGGCAACATTTATACCTAAAAACATCCAAAAAGAACTTGTCACATTGTTTTCAACAGCTGTAAGTAAGGCAAAGTAGCAAGTAGTGAACTTTCTTTCAAGCTGCTTACAGTAGAGAAGATAATTTTGAGAAACAGTAATTTCGTAAAATTAAGAGTCTTTGCTTTGGCATCCTATATTAGTTTTGTGACCTTAGACCAGTTAACATTGTTTACCTCATCTACAAAATGCAAATGATGATAATCATACCCACCTTACTATTATAGTTTTAAAAGATGGTGCATTTAACAAAATGTGTAGCACATAGTAAACAAATGGTTTTATTTCTAGAATATAAGCTTTGCCAAATTTGTTCTTCCTGCAGAATCAACACACTCGGAGATGAGCCTTTTTTTTAAATATAGTTAAATATTTTCCCATTACCAAAATTTGAAAATGCTAAAAGTTTTAGATACAAAATTTAGCATTATTAGTAATCAAGTATATTTTATAAATCTGGATAGTCATCTCTGTTTATTGTTTTTCTCCAGAGTGAACCAGAGGAAATGCCTCCAGAAGCAAAGATGAGGATGAAGAATATTGGAAGGTATTTATTTTTCATAATGTAGAAAATATTAATGAATTAAAAACAAGGATAAACTGCACATATCTTTTAGTGTGCAGGCTTTTCTTGAGTATTTGGGCAAAACAGTTTTTGTTTTATAAACTGTCAGTGATCGTATTTCTTCTCCTGGTAAGAAAATGAATATATTAAGGGAAAAAAACAATAATGTAAAGTGATTTCTTTTCAGATACATGTAACCTATATATTTTTTTCAAATACGAAATAGCTCTGAGAAATAATTTGACATTAAATTTAATTTTTTTTTCTGGTATAACAAAGAAAGTGCTTTCTCTCATTTCATTTATGAGAAGTGATGCCATTACCATCACTTGATCTTGATTGCATTATGCCCTCTTTCCTTGTTAACTTAAACATGCCAAATGCCAAAATATGACAAAAGTTTTTAATTTTTCCTCCCCTTTTTTCTGTTGTCATGAAAATAACAATTTGAAGTTAACATGATGTTCATTTTCCTATCTTCAGATGAGTAAGTGGGTAACTTAGAGGCTAGTAAGAATATTCAGCTTCAGATCAACCCATACAAGTCCCCATTTCTACCAAATGTGTAAGCCCCCAAAGAACTATTTGCTAATAAGCCCATACACAAACTTCAGTTGCCAGAGTTCCAGTCTGTGACTCAGATGGCAGCAGTTCCAGTGCTCTCTGCCTGCCTGCCTGTCTTTCATAGTGGGACCTAAAGTAAAAAATACATCTGACATGGTAACCCAACCTAAACACCATGTATACATAAATCTAAGCATGTAAAATTGAAATCAGTTCATAAAATGAAACTGAACCTTTCTATATGTGATACATTTTCATATTTTTATTGTATTTCATTTTTTATAAATGCTGATAGCAAGCCACCAAATTGATTTCGTGACCCTATTAATGGGTTGTAACAGTTTTAAGAACTACAGTGGTTGCCACCCTTGGCTGTGTATTAGAATCACCTTAAATACTACAGATTTACCTGGCCTCTCCTTAGGACTACTGAACCTGAAATTTCAGGACTGGGTCTGTGGAAAGAATATTTTTTAAAACTCTTTAGGGACCTCTGATGTTCAGTCTGTGTTTATAAAAGTTTAAAACATGGCCCAAAAGGATTTACATAACATTTTATATAAATTCCCTCTCTTTTAACTGCAGGGATACACCAACATCAGCAGGACCAAACTCCTTCAATAAAGGAAAGCATGGGTTTTCTGATAACCAGAAGCTATGGGAGCGAAATATAAAATCTCATCTTGGAAACGTCCATGACCAAGACAATTAAATGTGTTTTGAAATTGGGATGTGGGGTGGGTGTAAAGTTAAAAGGAAGAGTTTCCTTTTTTAAAGAATGGTATAAGACTATCTTTGGAGCCGCCTTTTTTTTTTTTTAAGATTGAGTGGTACACTAATAAATGAGAGTTTGAAATTAGAGGTAATTTATGTTTTATACACAGATTTCAAGACATTTGCTAATTTTGTAGTTTCGTGTGATTAGTTTCCAAAGGTTACAGATAATAAAAAAATCAGAAATGGTACCTTTCTAAGAATTGCATATTTTTTTAGATACAACTATTAGCACATTAAGAGGAAAGCAAAAAGTTATTGTCTGTTTACATTGCAAGCAATTGCTCCTAACTCCCTTATTAACCTAAATTGTCTGGCTCCCAGGAACAGCCTTATAGAGGGAAGTATTATATTAGGAGGAAAATGTTACTGGACTTTGACTGAAGGTGTGAGATAAAATACAGCTCTCTTTCATAATGGGCACTTGTTTTGTTTCAAGTCATCATAAACTAGGTCCTGCATTGCCTTCAGTGGATACAGATGCTTATTATTTCACTAAAAATTTTTTTTAGTTTATATAAACTGTCGAGTATTTGAAATAGCCCCCTTTACCTTAACAGGTCTTGTCTACCTTCATTAGTCTTCAAAGAACAGCCATTTGCTACCAAAGTAAATCAGTATTTTGAATGTGCTTCCCTTGGTTTTTGTTGTTAGCTAGTTCATGTAAGCATTTCCACTAGATCTTGAGGCAAATTGTAAGGAAGCTGTTTCTTTTAAAATACAAACCACCACCAAAAATTTAAATGTACATAATACTTATATATTTGGCTGTTTTTAGTTTTAAAAAGTTTATAAACAAAAAAAACCCCACATTGTATGAAGATGGAAAATGAGAAAGATGTAATTTCTGTAACTTTGTCAAAGCATTTAAGTTAACTTGTGACATCTGATTTGAACTTACTATAGGAATTCTTACTTAGTAAAATAATATAGCTGAAGTGGATACATATTAACCAGTGGCCTCCCAAAAGCACATTTGGTACTGAAAATGGAAAGAAATTGCATCTTAAATCTTTGACCACATATACTTTGTTAGATCTGTGTGTTGTAGGGTGTTTTTTTTTTTTTAATTTTTGTATTGTATATGAATTTTAATGTGACAATTAAACACATGTTTAAAAGCATAGTCACTGATAAACAAATATATGATGTCCTCAAAAACTCCCACAATGTTAAATTTGGAGGCAGCTTCAGACTATTTTGGTGGTAACTACTTGCTGAGCTTTTTAAGTAAGTAATGACTTGAGAGAAGCAGCCTGTATATATTCCTAACACTTTGTTCACTTGCATTTAAGTTTAGAGTAAGCCCCAAGTAAAACAATGGAAATGTATATAGAACTATTAGTTCTTACTTACATGATTTAATTATATCAAGATACGTGAATTTAACTTGCTTTAATATAGGCAAAACGTTTTTGTCCCATTTTGCTGTTTATGTTAAAATAACACCCCTCTCCTACATATTCTTGACTTAAATGAAATACTAACCTAAGGTCAAGATGGAAGAGAGAAACGACTGAAATGAATGTCTTTACTAAAGTACCAATAAATTTGTCAAACTCAGTAGTGTTCTCATTTTCTATTAACATTTAATTGTTGCCGTTTTTTTCTTTTGGTTTTTTAACAATGAGACAAATATTATGATTGTTGCTCTTGCTCAGATTGTTGGTCAGAGTAATGGGAGATGTAAAATTATTACTAGAGTCTACGTAACTTAGCACATAGTTCTACAGCATTACCGTATCTCAGGTTGGAAATGACTTAATCCAAATCCTCCCTATCCACTGTCAAATTGTCCATCCTATGGTATAGAAAATCCTGTCAAGGCATTATCTTTGAAAAATCTCTAATGTTAAAAGGTATTCTCTTGTAAGTGTCTGCCTTCCATTATCTCTATGTAATATATTTTTTTACTGCGTATACTGATGCTGCCCAATAGGTCAAGTCCAAGTAAATGAAAAGATTAAGCTACATTTTAGAAATCAGATTCATTTAATTAATTACAAATGAAGGCTATTGAGTTTCAAATGTTAAATCTAGTAAGTTCAGCTTGACATACTGTGGAGGAATTGTTCAAGTTACTTTCCTGGTTAAGTGAAGATACTTTCAATTTTTTTTTAAGTTCATTTTGAAAAAAATTAAGACTTAAGAAAACTGTGGAAATACTACAAAGTATTTCCATGTTCTCCAAATATTAACATCTTAAATAACACCAGGCCAATTGTCAAAATCAGGGAATTAACATTACTACAGTACTTATTATATTACCTTATACAGTTCTACTGACCTCACTCAGATTTCACCATTTGTTCAGTAATATCTCCTTAGTCCCACTTCATTGTCACACATTTAGTTGTCATCTCTTTCGCTCCTTTAATCTGTGGTACTTCGGTGTTTGTCTTTCATGACCTTGAGCTTCCTGAAAAGGATAGGCCAGTTGTCTGTGAAAGATACCTCAAATTGGGGTATGCCTAATGTTTCTTCATGATTAAATTCAGTTCATGCATTTTTGGCAAGAATAGCACAGAAGTAATGTGTCGTCAGTGTATCAGCAAGCACATCATGTGAATTTGTTCTATTACTAGCAATGTTTATTTTGATCACTGGGTTAGGAAGGTGTCTACCAGATTTCTCCAGTCAAATTACTATTTAATGTTATGGGAAAGCTCTTGGGACTGTGTTAAGTATCCTGTTTCTCAACATGCTTTTGCCCACTAACTGGTAGGCATTCAGGGTTCCTTTTTTTACCATCAATGGTTCTTTACTGTAACAATTGTTAGTGCAGTAGTTGCCAAATGATGATTTTCTGTTTCCATACCTTCTATTTTTAATGGTTGAAATACTGTGAAGAAATTTTCTCCATTATTTCAACTTTTTTTTTGATACAGGCCCATGTATTATTATGTTACTCTCTAGGTTATAACGCATTGCTGCCATTATTTTGTTACACAAAATAATCTGATTGGTCATGCCAAACCCCTTCCAGTTGACTGTCATGTCTTTTTGACATGTCTCCATCCTTTTTGATACTTCCTAACTTTCTGGCATCAGAAGATTGGACTCATCTTGTGTTTTCTCTTCTCTAGCCCTAGAATCAGTGATTCTTTATCCATGATTCCTTTTTACCACAGAATGGTATTTAGGAACCAAAATCAGCACTAGGTGAATACATTGGTACTGAGGTGTCATTGCTGTTAGCTTACTGAACAGAGTGATTTTAAGAATTCATACATTAACTCTTCACCTTTGATATGTTAGAGTTTCTCCCAATTATTAGTTGTTTTTTGGCTGATTATGGCAGGGTTTTTTGCAATACATAAAGCTTCCAATTTTATGTAGTAAACTTAATCTTTTATTGCCTGTAAATTTTATGTTAATCATTAGTTTGTACTGAGGTTAGAGATTAATTCAGCTGTGTTTTTCTAGTGCTTGTATTGTCATTTTAGAATTTAAATAGATTGGTTAATTTGGAGTATGATTTTATGTATTTGTGAGATTGAGATCTAACTTATAACTTATCTTTATGATATTAAGCCATCCTGATTGAGAGCAGTCTGCTTTTGTGTCTTTTCAGGAGTGTTCTAAATTTTTTCTCAGATAGGTTTTGTGTATTTCTTAAGATAATTTCTAAATCTTGTTGCTGTTGATAAGGGTTTTCTCTACCATTATGTGCTGGTTGTTTTAGAATATGAAGGCGGTAATTACATTAATTTTGTATCTTGCTATCTTACTGAATTATCATTGATTCTTTAGAATTTTGCAGGTGTACTATCCTGTCACCTGCAAAGAGCCTTTACCTGTTCTTTTTTGTTTTTTGTCTAATTGCTCAATGTCTCTAGTACAATGTTGAATAATAGAAGTACTGTGCATCCTTGCCTTATCCTTGTTTTCAGTGGTAGCATGTCCAGTGTTTAACCATTCAGATGCTGGCTTTTGGACTGAGGTGAACATTTTTTATGTTAACATATCCATTAGTTCCTATTAAATGCTTTTATCAGGAGAGGGTGTTGAATTTTTTGGGGGGGATCATTAATCTACAATTACATGAAGAACATTATGTTTACTAGGTTCCCCCCTTCACCAAGTCCCCCCTACATACCCTTCACAGTCACTGTCTATCAGTGTAGTAAGATGCTGTAGAATCACTACTTGTCTTCTCTGTGTTGTAGAGCCCACCCC